CTGCCGCTGCTGCTGCTGTTGCTGCTGGTGAGTATGCAGCAACAAGCTCTGTCTTAGCGATTTGCATATTGATGGTGTTGCTGCGTCGCGTCTCTCCTCTTATGCCCATTAAGGGCAATCTTTATCCTTATTTATATGAATAAAAAAGAGAAAAAAGAATAATTAATTCTTTTATTTGTTTATTCTTTTATATTAATGAATTATTTCTTGCTGCTGAAGGATTTTGCTGCTAATAGAGCTGCCTATACACTCGAAATCTTTGCTGCTGCTGTTGCTGCTAGTGGTAAGCAAAGGGTAAATCACTCATCTATAGACTTTAATAATTAATGTACAATAAATAAACGGTAAAAAGAAGAAAAAGGGGGAGGGAGGAGAGGAGAGAGAGGGAAAAGGTAGCAACAACAACAGCAGCAGCAGCAGCAGCAGCAGCAGCGACAGAACTATGAATGTGCAGCATAATGATCGGCTTATACAGGAGGAATCGATAAAGAAGAAAAAAAGACTTTTTTATGCTTTTTATTGAATAAATAAATAAATAATTATATTTTATTTATTATTTAATGAATAATACCTTTTAATTAAATATATATAATGTATTATTTATTATATTCATGATGGAGAAAAGATGCAAGGGAAAAAAAACACGAAAAAGAAGAAAGCTGTCTATAAATGAGTATTTTTGCGGTTAATTTTCTCTTTTTTTCTCCTTTTTATATATACAATTATTTATTTTATATATAATTAATTAAATTTGCCCTTTTTTCTTGTGCTTTCTTCCCCTTTTTCCCCCCTATAGGCACTATAACTATTATATACCCTGTTAGCGGTGATCTAATGTATATAAGGAGCAACTTTTCCTTTTTTTGCATAAAAAAAGAAGAAAAAGAAGAAAAAAGAAAAAGGAAGAAAAAAGAAGAAAAGAAAAGGAATATATATATTTATTTTATTTAATATATTAATTACTATTTATATATTTATTATTCATATTGCTTTTTGCTGTTCTTATAATAATAAGATTATTTAATAGATTAAATAAATTATAAATTACTAAATAAAAAAGATAAAATAAACTCTTTTCTTCTTTTTTTTATTTATTTTAATAATAAAAAGGAGAAAATAACTTTTTCTTCCTTTTTCTTCTTTTTCTTCTTTTTCTTTTTATATATAAATGTATAAAGGGAGAGGGAGGAGTTATTCTATATATTAAGGAGTGCAAGAAAAGAAGAATTAATATTTGTATATCTATTTATTTATTTATTTTATTTATTTATTTATTTATTTATTTATTTATTTAATTAATTAATTATTTATTTTATTTTTATTTTTATTTTCTTTTTATTTGTTGTTTCTTATCGATAGCATGGATGACCACTGGTCCTATATATAGGGGTAACTAACTAGGGAAAAGGAGTAATATATTTTTGTGTATTCTTCGTAAAAAAGAAGAAAATAAATTAAAATATTCTTTTAATTTATAAATATATTTTATTTATAATTAAAAAGAAGAAAAAAACAATAAAATAACTCCTTTTATGTAGGCCGTTCTTATTTCTTCTTATTCATGATGGTGGCCTGCAGTGTATATATACAATTATATTCAACTAAGAAGGTAAATCTATGAATAAGGAGCTAAAAAGACGATAAAAATGGCAAAAACTAAAGTAAATTAATAAATATTCATTTATTTTATTTATTTATTTCTTTTTTTTTATTTTTTTCTCTCTTTTTTACCGCTAGTCATGTGTGCAGCTTATGACGGACTGTATGAATGGCAGCGGGAAAGAGGCGCATAAGAAAAGGAGGAGAAAAAATTGTTGAATAAAAGGGGAAACAAGGGGTAATTTGGCAAAAAATAAATAAATAAATATATAAAATAAATAAATTAATTAAATTAGTTAAATAAATTAAATAAAATAAGGAAAAAATAAACAACAAGCGAAGAATTAAGCCGTCAGCTATAAGGTCCTTCCTTCGGCGGCGGCCTGGTACGGCCTGCAGCAGCTGCAGCAGCAGCAGCAGCAGCAGCAGCAGCCTTCTTTATATAAAGCCCCTTCTTTATGATTAATTTATTGTATTTATAAAGAAAAAAAGTATAAAATAAATATATTATAAAGTTTATTCTTCTTTTTTTATATTTATTCATCTATTATAGGGATTATTGTGTATATATATCTCCCCTGTATACACACCACCGCCGCCTCTGTCTGTTGTTGCCCTCCATCCTTATACATAAGGGCTCCTCTTATATCCTTTCTTAGGTCTTCTTTCCTTCTTTATTTTATTTTCTTCTTCTTTTCTTCTTGTTTATAACCTGTCTTATACTTATCCTCAGCAGCAGCGGCAGCAGCAGCAACAACAACAGCAGCAGCAGCGGCAGTAGGCTCTTCTCTCCTTGCAGCAAGCTGGACACCACCGTCGCTAGTCTTCTGTATATACAGCAGCAAACTATTTGCTGCTGCTGCTGCTGTTGTATTTTTCTGGTGTATCCTTTACGAGTCTGATTTACATTATTATCCAACAGACACACAGACAAGGGCCCCTGCTGCCGCCGCTGCTGCCGCTGCTGCTGCTGCTGCTGCTGCTGTGCTGCGCGGCCTACAGAGAGGCGAAGCAAAATGGCTTCCTATGAAGGATCATCGATCTCTCCAGACTTATATGTAGACTCTCCAGCAGCAGCAGCTGCTGCTGCTGCCTCTTCTCCTGCAGCAGCTGCTGCTTCTGCTGCTGCTGCTGCTGCTGCTGCTGCAGGGTCTGTAGGCAAAACAAGACTTCTTACTCGCGCATCAACAAGAGAAACATCAATAGATTTCTTTGAGTCTGTTACCTCAAGGAGTGACGAGGAGGAAGAAGAGGAAGAAGAAGAAGAAGAAGAAGAAAAAGAAGAAAAAAGAAGAAGAGAAAGAAGAAAAGAAAGAAAAGAAGAAGAAATAATGTTTAGTAGTAATACAAGAGATGATTTCTTGCATGCAGAAGAAAAAGAAGATTATTATTCATGGGGTGTACGTACACCCCATGGCTGCCGCTTGCTGCAGCATAATAATTATAAATATAATAATAAGGAGAGATACAGCAGCAGATTATATGGTGTTGGTGCTGCTGCTGCTGGATCTGCTGCTGTATCTCCTTCATCATCTGCATGTAGCGTATCTGCTGCTGCTGCTGCTGCTGCTGCTGCTGAGGCAGAGGGAACAGGGACAGATAGTATACGCATGCAATTATTTCATAAGCTGCAGCAGCAGCGGGAGGAAGAGCAGCGGGAAGAAGAGCATGCATTAGAGCAGCAAGCAGCAAGCTTGCGGCAGCAGCTAGCCTTCCTGCGGCAGCAGCTAAAGGTGCAGCAGGAGGAGTCGCTGCTGCAGCAGGAGCTGCTGCAGCAGAGGGAAGCAGCATTGCATGCAGCAGAAGCAGAGGCAGCAAATTTACGTACAAGAGAGCAGCAATTAAAAAAAGAAAAAGAAAATTTACGTACAGCGCATGCAGCACTGCAGCAAGAGGTGCAGCAGCAGCAGCTAGCAGCAAGAGCGCAGCGTGCTGCTGCTGCACTTGAATGGGCAAAAAAGCTTAATGAGGAAAGGGAGACTTTTGCTGCTAAGCTTACGCTGCTGCAGCAAGACAAGGAAGTATCAATAAATAATAATAAAAAGATGCAGGAGGAGTTGCTGCTGCTGCGGCAGCAGTTACGTGCAACAGCTGCTGCAGCTGCTGCAGCAACTGCTGCTGCAGCAGCACATCATCATCATGCTGCACCGACACAACATGTGGGGAAACAAACGCTCTTGCTGCAGCAGCAGCAACTGCAGCAGCAAGTGCAGCAGCAACTGCAGCAAGGAGAAAAGTGTCTCTCCCCACAGTCTGTTACCAGTGAGGATGCGCTGCTGCAGTCGCACTCTAGCAGCACCTGTTGCAGCAGCAACAGCAACTGCAGCAGCAGCAGCAGCCTCCCTCTACTCCCTCTTACATCCCCACGTATACTCCGCCTCCACCTACAGCAGCAGCAGCGCCAAGCAGCAGAAACAGCGCCTCTCCCTTCGCTTGCTGATGAATTGCGGGGCCCTTATACTCTCCCAAGCAGCAGCAGCAGTAGCAGCAGCAGCAGCAGCAGCAGCAGCAGCAAAAGTGGCATCCCAGACGTGCCGCAGCAGCAGCAGCAAGAGCAGCAGCAGGAAGAGCCTCAGCTTGTAGACCAAGCAGAAAGTGATATAATTGATTTAGAGGCGGGTCTGAATACCGACAGCAGCGCAGCAGCAGCAGCAGCAGCAGCAGCAGCAGCAGCAGCAGCAGCAGTAGTAGTAGTAGTAGTAGTAGTCGTAGGTAGACTAGAGCGTCTGCTGATGCTGCTGCAGGGTTGCTGCTGCAGTTAAGCAGCTGCAGCAAAATGGCTGCAGCAGTGCTGCAATCCCCAATTGACGCTTTTATAGATGCATGCATCCAGATTGATTTTTGTTGTTGCTGCTGCAGCATAAGCATTTGCTGCTGCTGCAGCAGTTGCTGCTTTAGCAGCAGCAGCAGCAGCAACATATCCCGCTGCAGCACGTGCTGCACCAAAGAACAGTTATAGCTGTTGCTGCATGTTTGCTGCAGCTGCCAGTTTTGCAGCTTATTTAAATAATAATAAATATATTAGCCGCTGTTCGTGTCTGCGGCAGATACTGCTGCTGCTGCTGCTGCTGCTGCTGCTGCAGCAGCAGCAGCAGCAGCAGCACGATATAAAAGTTTTATTTCCTTAGTACAGCAAGTCTAAATATAACACCAAAGAGAAGCATAATGCATGTCCCTGATGCAGCAATTACATTAAAAGGCATATCTGCATAAAAAAGACACACACACACGCATGCTGCTGCTGCTGCTGCTGCTGCTGCTGCTGCTGCTGCTGTTGCCGCTGCTGCTGCTCTTGCTAGTTATGCTAGATGTTGTTATTAAGGCTAGTGCTGCTGCTGATTGAGCTATTGAGACTGCAGTTAGAGCTGCTGTCTATGCTGATGTTGCTGTTGCTGTTGCTGCTACTGCTGCTGCGGCTGCTGCTGCTGCTGCTGCTGCTGCTGCTGTGGCAGTTTACCGAAGTCCGGTAGCGGCATCCTAATTCGAGCGCCTAAAGTTGCCCTCCATTCCCATTCCCTCTCCTCGGTCTCCCTGCGCATGCAAACAGCAGCAAGCTGCAGCAGCAGCAGGGCTTCGCAAAAGCAGCAGCAGAAAGAAACAGTAGCAGCAACGACAGCAGCAGGAAGGAGTTGCAGCAGCCAGCAGCAGCAAATGATGATGCAGCGCATGCACTCACTCAGCAAACCCCGAGAAATCATCGCTGTAGTCCTGCAGCTGCTGATCTGCTGCTGCTGCTGTTTCCGCTGCTGCTGCTGCTGCTGCAGTATTCAGAGGCCGAGCGCTGCAAGGAGGACTTTGGTCTACGCTGCATGCAGTTGCTTTGCTGCTGAGGACTGCAGCAGCAGGAGGCCAAAGAAATCCTTCCTCTTTCTGCAGCAAAATAATATAACAAATAATAAAATACAACAAACATGTGCTGCTGCTGCTGCTGTTGCTGTTGCTGCTGCTGCTGCTGGTGCACACGTTGTCATTTGCTGCTGCTGCTGGTGCTGCTGCTGCTGCTGCTGCTCACCTGAACAGCAGCATATGCGCTGCCTACAGAGATGCCGCCCTGCGGATTGGGGCGCAGCACCTGCGGCTGCTGCAGCAGCAGCCGCAACCCCATCGTCAGCAGCAGCTTGCAGCGTGGTGGTACCCTGACGGTGCCGCGCAGGACGGCAGAAGGAAGCAGCAGCTGCGCTCCTTCTTTCTGCTTCTCTGCTGCTGCTGCTAATGAGTCCTGCAGCAAGCTAGATCGTACCCGCAACCAGGGAGGCATCCACCAATCCTCTGATGGTGAATATACCTCGCCAGCAGCAGCAGCAGCAACAGCAGCAGCAACATCAGCAGCTAATGCTGATCCCCCCATGACACCACCTGCTCCAGGTACAGCAGCACCTGCTTCTGCTGCTGCTGCTGCTTCTTCCCAGGTCAATGGTGAATGCAGCAGCAGGCCGGAGGCTTGCAGCGCCGAAGGCCCCTCCAGGTTCTGCACAACAGCAGCAGCAGCAGCAGCAACAACAGCAGCAACACGAATGACAGCAGCTGTCTGTGCTGCAGCAGTTCAAAAATACTCAGAAGGGAGCAGCAAGCAACGGCAGCAACAAATACTGCAACTGCAGCGGCAGCAAGCAGCAGCAAGACAGCCACACTGGCATTCATCTTACCAGTGCACACTCCTGCTGCTGCTGCTGCTGCTGCTGCTGCTGCTGCTGCTGCTCTAGTGGCTGTGCAACCAGCTGTGCTGCAGCAACTAGCGGCAGAGTGCTAGGAGGCAGCAAATCAACAACAGCAGCAGTTGCTGCAGTGTCTCGTGCATTTTCAAAGGATACCCAGTACGTCCCTGCAGCAGCAGCAGCAGCACAGCAGCAGCAGCAGCAACAGCAGCAGCAGCAACAGCATCTGAAGTACAAATCCTCAGTAAAGGAATGGTATCAGTGGTTACGCACATCAAACCCTAAACCCTAAACCCTAAACCCTAAACCCTAGACCCTCGTCGTACCATGTAGGGTGTCTGTGTATGGCTTGTGAGGGTTTGCAGAAAACCCTCGGGAGAAGGAGAAACCCTTTGGCTCCTCAGGTAGGCGCCACCTGTATCCAAGCCATTCGTCCATTCGCTGCTGCTGCTGCTGTTGCTGCTGCTGCTGCTGTTCTTGCTGCTCCTCATACTCCTGCTGCTGCAGCAGATCTAAAATTATAAGAGATGAATGTTCATCTACATCGTATAGATCATATGTAGAAAAGCCCGCAGCTGCAGCAAGTTGCTGCGCCTTCTCAGCTGCCCTGCTGCTCTTGCTGCTGCTGCTGCTGCTGCTGCTGCTGCTGCTGCTGCTGCTGCTGTCTGTATCATGGAATATGCGTACCATCCATTTGCTGCTGTTTGCTGCTACACAATACCAACGGCCAAAGTTTGGAGGATTCTGCAGCCGCACAATTTCCTGCTGCTCCTCATCAAGGTCGAACTGCTGCTGCTGCTGCTGCAGCAAGTCTCCTGATGGATCAAAGGGTTTCGGGTGTACATGCAGGTATACGTGGCTAAATAGATTTACTAGAGATAAACCAACTGCATGCACATGCGCATGCACACACAGCAGCACAGCAGCGCATGCAGCAGCAAGCTAGCGTCGTTGTATCATAGCAGCAGGCTTTTAAGCAATAGCAGCAGCAGCAACAGCAACAGCAGCAGCAACAGCAGCAACAGCAGCAACAGCAGCAGCATTCAATGGCCTACGCTTTGGATTCTCGGGAAACTGCAGCACTACAGAAAGCTCAAGCCGCATTTCAGCAACGAGTTGCTGCTGTTGCTGCTGCTGTTGCTGCTGCTGTTGCTGCTGCGGGTGCTGCTGCTGCTGCTGCTGTTGCTGCTGCTGCTGCAGGGCAAATGGGCTGATCCGAAGACGATACGATTTGTAGGGAGATATT